TTCCACTTGTCCAAAGATATTCCTCTACCGTACTTTCTTTCCTCATACTTTCCTGACTTCTCAAGAACCTTCATTTAACAATGGGGCATTCTCTTGCCTGAGTGTGTTTTTAATTGTTTACCTCTCTGTGGCATCTTCACTTCTGCTCATGAACAAGTTCAGGTATTCCTTGTTAAGAATAAAGTGAAATGAAAATTAAAAATAAAATTTTCTCAGGGCCGGCCCGGTGGTGCAGTGGTTAAGTGCGTGCGCTCTGCTTCGGTGGCCCAAGGGTTCGCAGGTTTGGATCCCCGGCAGGCACTGATGCACCGCTTGTCAAACCATGCTGTGGAGGTGTCCCATATAAAGTAGAGGAATATGGGCACGGATGTTAGCCCAGGGCCAATCTTCCCCAGCAAAAAGAGGAGGATTGGCATTGGATGTTAGCTCAGGGCTGATCTTCCTCACACACTCACAAAAATAATAATAAATAAAATAAAAGTAAAATAAAATAAAATTTTCTCTAGTATGCTATCCTTTCACTGTTCTGCTATATTTCTCAAAAAGAGAAAGAGATTATCTCTCTTCACTCATTTACTTGAGCACTAATTCTCATCCAATGCTTAAAACCTTTCAATATGGCTTCTGCCCAACATGTATTCTAATCATTTTTTAGCTTAGTACAGTGAATTCTAAGAATGAGTGCCAAACTCTGAAGCATGATGATTAGTTTTGAGTAAAGATTAACATCCAAATTAAACCATTACAAGCATAGCAGTATCCATAATTACTGTGCTTAAAGATTATTTAGTTGGAGAGGGCTATGGAGAAAACTGTAGGTAGGAAATTGAGGGGATAGATCTGAGAGATTTGCCAGAAGAGAAGAGGAAAAAATGGCATGGGGTATGGGAAGAGAGAGTGACAGGCCTGCACTTGAGATGCTGTCTGAAGATTACAGGGATGACTGCTTTTAGGAGTCGCATAAGTAAATGTGCTTTGCTGCCACAGCTAGTTGTGGAAACCAAGCAAAGGTCCTCAGAGATTTCGGCATATTCTGCAGGCTGAGAGTCTCCCGTCTCCTCCCCAAAGTCACCACAGCATTCCAGGTTCTCAATACCTAGGTGGTTGTAATAGTTGCCCAAATGGAGTATCTGCCTCCAGGTTCTTTTCTCTCTTCAATTCATTCAACATGCTGATGCTATTATCTGATTTTCTTTGCATATAGCAAGAACTAAGAAAATGTGACTGAATGAAATGATGAATGAATGAATTAAAAAAAAAAAACTCCCAAAGTTACATAATCACTATGGCCCTCACGAAGTTTCTTTTTAGTGAAGAATTATTTAAAAAAAAAAAAAAACACGGGGCCTGCCCAGTGGCATAGTGGTTAAGTTCACGCACTCCGCCTTGCCAACCTGGGGTTGATGGGTTCGGATCCCAGCCTTGGACCTATGCACTATTTATCAAGCCATGCTGCGGCAGGTGTCCCACATATAAAGTAGAGGAAGATGGGCACGGATGTTAGGCGGGGGCCAATCTTCCTTGGAAAAAAAAAGGAGGATTGGCAACAGATGTTAGCTCAGGGCTAATCTTCCTCACCAAAAAAAGAAAAGAAAAGAAAAACTTATGCAGAAAGAAAATATTCTTCCAGAGCCAAGAGACTGTGGCAAGGGAGGGGTGGGGAACAGTGGAGATCATTTTAAGATACATAAGACCAAAAAAAAAAGGCTACTTTTCTTAAAACTCAACCACTAAGGAAGGGACGTTAAGCATACATACACACGCACAAAAATTCCAAAATTTAATTTGTTAACTAGTATTTTGTGGTCTGCTCTTCACAGAAAGCTAGAAATTATAAGGAAGTCGAAGTTTATTGAAGTCATAAATGGTGAAAATCTCAACATATGCTGAATTGACTCTAAGCAGCCAGTTAAAATACTAAAATGTCAATAAAATTTATGAATTTAGCTTTTTCCTGTCACTAGGTGACAGACATCAATGTAAATCACCAATGAATTTACAGAATCACTCGATTCCCAAGCCTCAATTTCCTATAAGGTAAAAATACATTGAAGCTATGAATATTTTACAATGCAATTTTATTTTATTATTCAAATAATTTTCTCTACACAATTATTCTGATGGAAAAAACATGTTTATGTTTTCATTTATAATTTAGCAATTGTGGTTTGTATGAAGTATAGCAATTTAAGAATTGTTTAATTCTTTCTGTAACGGCACTATCACATTATTTTTTATTTCTGGTAGATATTGAAATTGATATTTAGCTCTTAAATTCATTTAGAACAATCTCAACATGGTTTGAAAAAGACTCTTGGGCTCCAACTTGAGTTGGATAATTTAGAAAAAGTTCAAAATGTTAAAATCATGTAGAAATAAATCTTATGAAATGGGAATGAAAACAAACTAAGCTTTTGATTTTCCCTATGGCAAATAGTCTTAATTTTAGGAAAAAACAATATTGCTGCTGGTGCTTCAGGTAACAGCTTCAGCAGAAATTTTTAGAAAGGAATCTATAAGGTTTAGGACGTTGGATGACAATCAGTACACTGCTCAGGTCAGTTTGAACTCAGTAATCAGTAAGATCTTCGTTTAAATTTGCTTAGGAATAAATTACTTTTTTCAAGTCAGTAAAAAATCAGAGCCTCAGAATCATCTTGTCAGCTGTGCAGCATTTGACACCATCTTTTTTTAGCGATGAATTATCAGATGGTGTTAACTGCAAATTTTTCTTTTTCAAATGAGAAATTTGCCCCCTGTCCCTATGGACTGGACTGTTCATAGATCAGTGGGTTTCAGTGCCAGGCCAGGAGGGGCTTTCATTTTCATTGCATGCCTCTCTAGTTTACCTTTACTTCAACTTTTGTTACTTGCAGAGGTTGGGGTGACTATTTTGTAAAGTTTGTTTTCATTACTGTTGGTAATATTCATACATATTAACTTTAACTCAGGATCGCCATGTTTAAGGCAGAAGTAGGCAAACGTTTTCTGTAAAGGGCCAGATAGTAAATATGTTCCTCTTTGTGGCCAAATGGTCTCTGCAGCAGCTCTCAATTCTGCATTTATAGTGCAAACAGCTCTAAACAGTACATAAACAAATGCGTGTGGGTGTGTTCCAATAAAACTTTATTTATAAAAACATGCAGCAGGAAGAATTGGGCATAGTTTGCTGACCTCTGATCTAAGGGAGTACCTTTGTGTGGAGGGAGGGAGATAAGAGTTTCAAGGACTTAAGAAATATCAATTTCTCATGCTGTATAATTCATTAGGTTTCAATGGCTCCAAAAATAACTCTTACAGCAAAACGAAGTGCTATAGAAACTCAAATTTGCTGTCACTGATTGCTTTTATAATAAGTCATAGTTTGTTGACTGAACAATTCCTTTACTCAGCAAACATCTACTGAGCACCTATAATGCGACCAATGCTCTATTGGCAACATGTGTGATACAAAGTATATACTAAGCCCTGATCCCTAGGACATACATGTTTGGAGAGAGAAGATATTTCAGGCTTTCATATTAAAAAATAGGCTCTCAGATAATTTTTAGTTTTTCCCCACCACATAGCCTTTTATAAATGCTGCTACATCCAACTCTGCTGCTTCCTACCTCAGTGCAGGGAAAGGCAGACACTGATTTTGAACTTCCCTAGGCTCTCATCCCACCACTCCTACCCCCAAGGACTTTAGAAGTCAGTGTTCCTTTTTGCTTACTTTATTTTTACTTAAGAAAAAGAGATTCACATACTAGTGTACTGTGTTATACTTCTTTATTTTGAGGTTAGGGAGTGTTGGGTTTCAATTCCTGTATCTTACTGCAGTAACAATCTGAGCAACCATTTCATTTCCCCTGGGGAGACAACTGAGATAAATATATTTTAAAAATCCACTCTTTAAAACTCATGCTTCTGGAGAATAATACATATAGACCTAAAAGGAAAGAGCAGTAGCAGCAATTCATACATTCTTCCAGCCTCCCACTGTGACTCGGTTCAAAAAAGTAACTACACAAATTTTTTTTTAATGTTCCATTCATATTTTTAAGAGATTTCAAGCAATATTTCTAACCAAATTTATTAACAACTTCTATCAGTTGGTTAAATCATAAGAATTATTGAAGTGCTAAGATTTGAATTCACGACCTTGAGGTATAAAAAGCTTATCTCATCCAATAAGGAAAACAAGTTATTTTTAAAAATTTGAAGATGAGGATAATGAAGATTTCATAGACTCTGAATCTATGACACTAGAATTCATAGTAATTCAGTTAACTAGTTGAACTCTAAATTCCTTGGAAGATGTAGTAATTAACCTTTTAAAACAATAGGATTTGAACTTGATGTAACCAGTAATTTTCATGACTTTTAAACAATGATGATTATTGACAGTTTAGGCCATTTGTTGTGACCAAATATGTTTGCATCTTCCTAGGAAAATCTTTATAATATTTCCAAGCTGAGACTTCCTGTATTCATTTTATTCTTTGATAACATGTTAAAATTTTTCAGATTTCTTCAGCATTGATAGTATACCATATGTACTAAATTATACACCATGTCCCTATAAAACTATCATCAAAATAAAACAATGAAGTTATCAGATTGTAACATTCCCTAGAATACATATAAGTCATAGCTTTTATATATGAAAGCAAGCTTATACCCATAGACACCTATTAAATAGATTAAGCTGGGATATAGCTCAATATTTGTGCTGTTAAAATTGGCTTCAGTGCAGGAATGAAATGATAGTGCATTTTTGATGTACCAGTGTCTAATGCCTTATAACATGACTTAAGACTCCAGCAATGACCACGCAAGTGAAAGAAAATTAATATTGGGCATAGATTCAGTTCTAGCATCAAGTTGGAGTGAAATGTGCATACATTCTAAATCTTAGGTTGCAGTTTCTGATGCAGCCTGGTATGAGTGAGGGAGGAAATCCACTGGTGAGGAATGTTCTCTGGGAGATCTCATCCGGGCTGCTTGTCCTTCCCCAGGATCTGTCACTGTGAAGGGGATGAAGAAAGCCCCCTCATCACACCCTGTCGCTGCACGGGCACCCTGCGCTTTGTCCACCAGTCCTGCCTCCACCAGTGGATCAAGAGCTCAGACACACGCTGCTGCGAGCTCTGCAAGTATGACTTCATCATGGAGACCAAGCTCAAACCCCTCCGGAAGGTATGGATCTGCAGGAATTGGTGTGAGAGAGAGAACTTGCAAAGCAGGCTTGTTTTAAAAATCTATTGCTTTCTCCAATGAGATTTTGCTAACATGCTAATATCTATGAAGAGTTCATCTCTTGTGTTGGGCTCAATGTGTAAAATGCAGCCAAGTGTTAGCAAGACCATCCTTCCTTCTTCTCTATTTTATATTCTAGGGCCTCTGAGTTTTATAGCACTCTTCGAAATCAAAAGAAAGCATGTATATGTGTGTGTGTGTATATATATATATATATATATATATATATATTAACAAAATATATTTGTAATTCAATGAAATTGAATTGATGGGAACTGAGAGAACATTATACTTGCTGAGGTCAATTCTCTAGAAGGTTAGATAAGAGATTCCATTAAATAATATGGACTCATCTAAAATCTTGAAAGTCATGCATTAAGTAATAGAAGAAAATGGTTTCCTCTATAAGGTGTGGATTATTTTTTGTGTTTGCCTTTATTTGGGGATTTGATTTGATGGTCCATGTATAATTAGATAGAAATAAAAAGTATTATTTTTCATATTGTGCATCAAGCTGTAAGAGAGAGGTAAGTATATTTTTATCTATAAACTTAATCTTCAAATTCCTCATTTATATATTATATTTTTCTAAAGAATGAAGGTAAAGACATGATTTGAAAATAAAGCTAGCATCTCACTCAAAGCTAGCAAATGACAACTTGTAAAGGATACAAATGAAGACAATGAACTTTGTGTGATTCATGCTTGATAGCTGGGCCTCTGGGATTTTGGCATGTAACTTATTCATCTTTTTGCCTAACTGCAACCTTACATATATGGATGCCTCAATTTCCAAAGGAGAGTATGAAGACTGCAATTTAAATAATGAATCTGCCTAGAACTGCTTTTTCATTTAAATTAAATCATAGCCAAAGCAGATAAAAAGAACGTTGCTTGGAAATAAACATGATGGGTTCTAGGATGTGCAGAGATGTAAAGCAAAGAAGAATATTCCCGTAGACATCTGATTGGTGGCTGGCCATTGCAATTCTTCATTAATTCTGTAAATTACAGAGAGGGAGAATAGCATTCACTGCTTTTGTGGTAGCCTTGATTTTAAAAATCTGCAAATGGTTTATAGATGTCAAAAGTGATGCACAAAATGCCTTTGGGATACACATTATCTTTTTTTAACATATAGGGTGACCTGAGTGCCAAAAGGTGACACTTTGTTCCCCCAGGTCCCAGAGCAATCAATGCCAGAGATAGAAATGGACCCTTACTCTTTGCCCTTTGCTTTATCCACTGAACAGATGCTGTGTGCTGTCTGGAGTAGCTAAATGACACATTGTGCTCTATGATTCTGTAAATTTCTCTTCTTACCCCTCAGGGAACTACAGATTGTTTCATAGCTTCTTTATATTTCTCTATGGTTTTTTTTTTTTCAACCTACGTCTATATAAAATTTTCATTTCAACTTTGTCAAACATAATATTTCAATATGAGAGCAACAGTCTAGGATAATAAAAAATTCAAATTTTCTTTTCTTCATACTATCTACCCCCTTCCCCATTTTTTGTATAATAAACAATACATGATGCTATATGGAACTTGAAAAGTCTTCTTGTTCCACCTGCGGCTTTTATAGAATCACCCTTTATATACAACTTTGATCCTTTCTTAATATTTTATTCTCAATAATTAAAACCCTATGAGGAAATCCTTTTTTTCTCAACTAACCTGTTTTTATACCAGAGAACGTGAGCGAATACATCTATCTTTTTTAATCTTCTTAATAATTAATATGTTGCCCCAACCTGGTGGGCACCTACAATCTATTGATTAATGAAATATCGTAGTTTCTTTCTAAAAACATTTCCTTTGATTGGTCATAAATATTGATGTAGGACAGCATGTCAACATCCTTCACCTTTAATAGCATTTATATATCTACAAAGGATGTTAGAATCTAATCCAGAGGTGGCTTGCTGACAGCCCACAGATGGGTTTTCTTTGACCCACAGGGCTTAGCGTTTGAATTAGTTACCAACATTTAAAAATGTGATTATTTCATGTAAAATTCCACACACCTGTATTTGTTTGAAAATCACAGTATCTGGCTTTGCTGGAACCACATTCTCATAGGACAACAACCAGTGGAGCTCAGCGGCAGCTAGCCCCTTTAGAAGGCTACTTGCTTCCAAGTTCTCCACGCTTCTCAGGCCTCCCTCTGCTGATCCTGAGATCTTGTGCCATCTCCACCCATCTGAGTACCTCTGTGGCTCTGGGTCAGGGATCCGAATTTTCAACTCCTGTCTAACATACGAGTCCTAGACATGAAAAACGTGCATTCTATTCCTGCCTCTATGATTTATGGGCTTTAAAAACTTAGAAAAAGTATTCCTAATTTTCACTGTCTCCTTTATTTTAATTTTTTTTTGCCTTGTGACGAGAACCTATTTTTTTTTTTTTGTGAGGAAGATCAGCCCTGAGCTAACATCCATGCCAATCCTCTTCTTTTTTGCTGAGGAAGTCAGCCCTGAGCTAACATCCATGCCCATCCTCTTCTTTTTTGCTGAGGAAGACCAGCCCTGAGCTAACATCTATTGCCAATCCTCCTCCTTTTTTTCCCCCAAAGCCCCAGTAGATAGTTGTATGTCGTAGTTGCACATCCTTCTAGTTGCTGTTTGTGGGACGCGGCCTCAGCAAGGCTGGAGAAGCGGTGCGTTGGTGGACACCCGGGATCCGAACCCCGGGCCGCCAGCAGCGGAGCGCGCGCACTTAACCACTAAGCCACGGGGCCGGCCCTCACTTTCTCCTTTAAAACTATGGGACCCTGGGGTAATACTTAAATGGCGGTATCCAAAATGACTTTTCAGATTCTGAGGTGATATGAACTATGCAGATATGAGGCATTTTTAAACTATTCTAGTTGATTTATTTTGATGGCACTAAGATTCATCAATAATTTTCTTTGGGTGGTTTTAAAGTGGTCATTAAGAATGACAGGTATACCATTTGGTTAGAATATATTTGAAGTACACCCACTTAATTGCTCTCAACTCAGTAGTTTCATTACGGTTTATAACATTCTAAAGCCCAACCACATGAAACAATTAATTTAGCTAATGATTCTGAATTTCTACCACTAGCCAATGGAGGCAGGAGATTCTGTTTAGATGAAATGGCTTCTTAAAGTAGAAAGATGCAAATCTTCTGACAAACCTTGGGGCTTAATAGTTAGTTTCCAAAGATATCAGTAAAACCTTACTTCTTTAATTGCTGCTATTACTACACCAAAATCCACAGCTAGTAAGTTCATCAAAGTATCCCAATGTTTCCAGAGAAAATCTTTAAAGTCTAAATAAAATCAAGAGCTTATTTGAGGAAAGGCAATGTTCATCATCTTTAAGTCAGTAGCTCAGCTACTTTTATAACACTCAATAAAAGTCCCATTAATCTTATGAGTTACCCAGGTCAGAAATAATTCTCCGGGCCCAGAAAAGTGAAGAAGCCACAAATATAGAAAGCACAGTGACTACTCAGTGAAATTTGGAAATGCATACAATGTCGATTAGGAAGCATAAATTAATCTTCTGTTTCGAAGCTGAAAAATTGCATGGGGTTTAGATTTAAATCACACCTGAATGGGAGAAACCAGCTGTTGGATATAAAGCCAAGCTTATGAGGACAGCAGATAATACTGACAACTTTATGTCCTCCCCTAAAATATTTCTTTATATCGTTTTCCATATACAAACTACTTGACAAATATATAGCACAGAATATTCAACTCTATGCATCCTTCTATTCCTTGTCTTATTTCTACAAATAAAATGAGGCAGTGAATCAATTACCTCTGCTTTAGTAATGATTAGGTTGAATCATATGCACTTGTCATTTTTGTAGATCAAAAATAGTTGAATATTGTAAAGTTCCTAATACATAAGTTCTCCGTGAACTTATTATGCCAAATAAAAAGGAATGATCATTTTGATATTTCCACCAAAATGACTTACAATACTTTAGTTGAAATACCTGTTTTAAAAAATAAGGAGTTGTATTTGACAAATACTGTGTTAATTTCTTCCTTTTCATAATTTGATAAAGCATCCATCTTTCAGAAGAACCAAGGGCCAGTGCAAGTTGCCGTAGCAAGTCAACTGCCCAAAGGTTATGATGGATGCTCTGTTGATCTGGAGGTCTTGCAGTTCATAGCCTTAAAATCGGACAGGGCAGGGAATGAGGTCAGATTCCTAGCTAGGGTCTTCTAGCACCATATTGAATAATATTGCCTAACCACACATAAGAGAAATTCCAAATGCATCATTTACTTACCATTATGGGTCATTTGCAATTTCACTAATACAACCACCACATATTGAATTTTCACTATGTGCCAGATATTTAGACTACATTGCTTAATTAATTTAATCCTCATTACAATCCTATTTTATGTAGGCATATGAAGCCCATTTTACAGATGAGGAAAATGAGACCCAGTGTCAGACTTACTCAGTACCACACACCCCACCCCAATTCTAAAGTTTGTGCTCATTGCACTGTGCCATACTGCCATAAGTAGCTGACAGCCTCTCCCTGTAAGCATCAAAACTTTAGTTTTTATTTAAACCATTTCTAATGGAAATCTTTCAAAAGAAAACTTTCTAAAATAAAAATTTTCTAAAATCTTCCTTCATAAACACGGATATTTTATCCAATATCTTCTCCTAATAATTAGTTACACCATTATATGAACATCAATTATTTCACAAGGTGAAAAACATTAACAGCTTCAATAGCTTGAAACACATATAAGGATGTTTCTCTTCATTCTGCTTCCGCCAGCCTGCTGTGTTTAAAAGCCCTTCTAGCTGCTTGTTGTTTCTCTTTCTTCCCTGCTCACGGAGCATCCACTGTCACTTCTCTGTTCCTCCAAGAGCCCTGATTCAACATTTTAGATAGCTACTGCACTTCTGCCTTAAACAACAACAACAATCAAGAGTTACAGAATTGGGTCTATAAAAGGCTGAAGTCAGTTCTAGATGAACTTCTGCAAGATTCTCTTTGATCATTGGCAAGAGTTTTAGTGGGCATGGATATTCTGGCATCATTCTAGGATTCTTGGCGTTCTCTTTGCCATCCTTCTTAATTCTCAACTTTATCAAATTACTTTGGATTACGTAATAGGAAAACCCTCAGCAAATGAAGTTTTGATGTCTCCAGGCTGTTCCCCTATAATTAGAGCCCAGTTCTGGGGAGTAGGTTTGCTCTTTCATTTCTCCACAAATATGTAAGACTGGAGTCAATGAAAATCTCTGCCCTAGAGAGGCAGACAAAGCTTTCCTTATACGTCTTGCAAAGAACATCCATTCTCGTAATTTGAGACGCATCCTCATTCTCTCGTCTTCTTGCACTGGTTCAGTTCCGTTATTATATGAGCCCTGAGGGCAGTCTCAGTGGTTTAGAATACTCTTAGGAAATGATTTTGTTTTCAAACTCCCACTCTCCAAATGAGCCAGGTGAGTTTTCCACAACCAATTTCTCACCGTCCAGTGGTGGTATTCTCTACAGCCAAACACTTCCTGCTACCTCTCACTGCTTCCTTCCGTGAGAGGGAGGAACCTGACAGGCTACTTAGCTGATCACAGTGGGAAAGGAAAGGATGAGTAAATCACAAAATAACGAAAAGAAGATGATTAAAAGAAAATTATTTCAACTCAGTTGGAACATTATCCTTTCCACTAAAATGTTTTTCTCGTTTTTTTTGTTTTTATTTGTCTTATTGCCTTAGCACATTTATGTTCTCAAAACTACAATTGATATTTCAATTAAAATAATATTCCAGTTTGAGTAGATAACAATGCCAATATGTTTTATATCAAATAATTATGAGATGGAAAATACAAGTGTCTCATGTTATTTTCTAATAGGTACTTGGGGTTTATCACATGGCCTTTATCTTTTTTTCTTTTAAGGAAATACTAGTAGGTCCATTTGTCTTTAAAATTTAAAAAAACTGTGTAGTCCACTGGATCAATATTATAGAATAATTTGTTCAAAATAGAAATACTCTTCTCTGGGCAGCAGAAGAGCATATTCTTTTTTTTTTTTTTTTTAATAATTTTTATTTATTTATTTTTCCCCCAAAGCCCCAGTAGATAGTTGTATGTCATAGTTGCACATCCTTCTAGTTGCTGTATGTGGGACGCGGCCTCAGCATGGCTGGAGAAGTGGTGCGTCGGTGCGCACCCGCGATCCGAACCGGGCCGCCAGCAGTGGAGCGCGTGCACTTAACTGCTAAGACACAGGGCCGGCCCAGAAAAGCTTATTCTTTTATGAAGCTTCCATCTGTAAACACAGTCCTCCCCCTAGGCAGATTTGAGCCCACATGAGAAGCAAACTGTGTTCTGAAGATTGTTCTGAGAGGGCTCTAATGATGCCCAGTTCACTCATTCACTCAACTCACTGTACTATCTACTATGTGCCAGTCAAGTTCAGTTGAGAACCAGCTAGAAAAGAGCTCTGCTCTCAGAGAACATATAGTCCACTTCAGAAGGATGGAAAAGGATGAATTACTTACAATACTTCATAATAAATACGAAAGACATGATAGTAGGTTGGTGGTGGTTTGGGGCTCAAGGTGGATGGTGATGTTGGGAGTTGAATGGCAGATGTAATTCAAAGAGAGCAAGCCACCATGGTATGTTTGGTTTATGATTGTGAGATCATCTATATTAAAAGATTTTTTTTACATTAACTATAAACACATAGCAAAATGACTGTCTTTTCTCTTTTGTTCTCCATGTTTCACAGAACCTAGGCTAATCAAGAAGGTGTTACTTAGCAGTTGGACATCAAGGACACTGGGGAGAGAGAATTAGGAATATAGAGCAGGATTTGATAGAGAGTGTCACGAAGGAGACTTGAATAAACAGCCCTTGAATATCATTGTTGGCTGGAACATTTCTCTTCAGTACTTCTTTATTAGTTGATCCAATTACATACTACTTTAGCTCTGTTTCTCTCTTTGAAAATTATCGCTTGAAGGACGTAACCTCACTTCTTGGTAAGAATGTCACCTTGTGTTACTATTCTAGAAATGAAAAGAAACACTTCACTTACATTAGATTTGCTCCTGAAGTCTTTAACAGGATACAGTTACACCCTTGGGAAAATCCATTTTTATTTTGTCAAGGACTAGGGACATACAAAATGGAACTTCTTTTATATACTGTGTATTTTGATATTTGATACAGAAACTATGGTTAAAATGATGGAATCAGTATTACAATGATGCATATGGAAAGTATAAAAGCATCAAATTAGAATGTGCAGAACACACACACACAGTTACAAATAAAGATTTCCCCAATGCATCATCTTCACACACATATACACACATATACACTCACAGTTACAAATAAAGATTTCCCCAATGCATCATCTTCACACACATATACACACATATACACTCACAGTTACAAATAAAGATTTCCCCAAAGCATTATCTTCTGATTGAGTTGGTTGTTTAGTTTTTTTTATGGGACTGAGGTTATATTTGTCTTTCATTTTAATTTTTCTTAAGATCATATAATGATTGGGTTTTAAGTTAGTTTCATATTTAAATTTTCATCCAGCTAAAGATTTTTCTCTCTCAGCTGGGATTTTTTTCTTAATTCACTATTCCAATTTCTCAAATCTCGGCATCAAATATCAGAAAAATTTTCCCCTAAATTTTTGATTTAATTATGTGAACCATAAGGCACTGGAAATCAGCATGGCTTTTTTTAAAGCAAATATTTTAGACCAAATCAAATTCCATTTTCTTTTGGATTGCCAAGTAAGAAATAAGGAAGACTTCAGTATAATCCCTCTGGACTGATGGTGTTGAGCCCTGTTGTACATGTATCAACATGTTTGTGTGATATCATCAACACTATAATAAGATAGACGTCTGAAAGTTTTCACTCCAAAAGAGAAATAATCTCTCACAAGCCAGCTTCCTTCCAATTTTCTATTTTTCTCTAAATGGTACCATCAAATGTCTCCTCTTCTCTTGTTTCCCATGTGGATATACTGCCCACAGCCTAATCATACCAATGCTATTATCTTGCATACGAATGTTTTACCCTAAATTAGGCCAATTTACCCACTCAGCCACAGGTACAGCAGAACCTGTGAAATGCACAGCATGAAATATACAATGTAGGGGGCGCGGGACAGGAGGCAGAGAGGTTGGGCAATCCATACCCCAGTTCTTTTTCCCATCCTTGCTTGCGGAGAGTGAGTGATGAGCAGAGAGAAAGGCAAGCTATTTTACTCCACATGGAAACATGAAGCAAATTAAAAAAAAGAGGTTTACCAAGAAGATAACAGCACTTTCATTGTATGGACTTCCCTCCGGGGCACTCCATACTTCCCTCCCATAGCACAGAGAACCAACCCTACACTCCAGGAATGATAAATAGTTTTAAATCCTCTTTTAACTGAAATAGAAGGAAAGTAGCTAAATAAAAAAGAACAAATAATTCAAATAGTAAAGAAAAGAATACTAGGCTAGGAGTCAGAAGATCAGATTTTAATTCTGGTTCTGAAGCTTAATCTGTCTGAGCCTTGTCTCAGTCTTTTCATCTGTAAAATGAGGAGACTGGACAAGATTATCTTTTAAGTTTCTTTGAACTTAAAATTCTGTGATACCATGAAAAGCAAAGTGAGGAACCCACTTTTTTAAGAAAAAGAAAGATACCTCATGTTCAAATGTATTTTAAATGTTCGGAAAAAAAGAGAAATGGGTGTAGAGAGAATCCTTCTTGTCTACGGTAGCTTAGGTTGTGCAGCACAGGATGCTGAGTAACGAAGGAGTCTGAGGTCTGAGTGCTAAAGAAACAGTGTGTGTGCTTACTTAATCTTTATTACCCTTTAAAGCAAACCATGGTGAGAAAAACAAGATGCAGTCTCTCTATGTTTAAAAAAGAAGAAACATTAAAAGGCATGAGTAAAAGAAGACAAGGTAAAGAAAGGAGAGAAGAGAGGGAAAAGGAAGAGAAAAAGGAGGAAAGAAGCAGAGAGGAAAGGAGCGTGTTTGAGGGCAGTTGGGTATCGAGAAGACACCCTCAAAGGTGACTGGACGCTAGATGTAAGTGTCCAGGCCACGCTCTTTTCTTCTAAGTTGTAAGCAGGTGGTTAATGGCTAAGTAAAGCAGATTCAAGTGGTTCTTGACAGCAAAGCTGTTCTGCAGCCCTGAGACATACATGAAAGACTTTTGACTCTAAGAAGAGAGGCAGGCTAGGCTGAAAGCCATTTTCTCCTTGGCAGAGTAAAGGAAACCAGTGTAGATTGAAGGTGTAAGCAAATCAGTTTAGTTGAGTCTAAGAAAAATATTCTATTTTCTCGAAGGCTAGGGTTTCTGTAAATAAAGAGCTAGTTTAATACAAAAGTTTATATTTTGATGATCAAAGCTAACAAATCTTGGAACTAGATTCTTTTCTGTATCTAAGAAATGCCTTCTTCCCCACAAGACTGATAATCTCCTATTGGACTCTATTAGTATATAAGACCACACCAACAGCCGGCTGTGTCTGAAGGACCATGTGGAGAGAGTTCCAGTAAGGCCGCTTATGATTCCTACTCCCACTTTATTCATTCAGTCAACAGATATTTATAGAGCACCTGCCATGTGCCAGTCACCGTCCCTGGCACTAAGATTATAGTGATGAACAAGACTAAATCCTCTGATCTCAGAGAATTTACTGGAAAAGAGATGGAGGCTGAAAGTTTGAAAATGAGTGAGTCATAATATTTTGAAATAGACTTGAAAACAGTATGGGAGATAATTCTAGTAACTCCAGACAGGGTTAATATGATTCCAACTATTAAGTTATAACTCCAGAGAAATTTATGAGAATTTTAGGTGAATAAATCCTCAATTTCACAACTGCCTCTGTTCTATTAAAGGAACAATTTAATAAGGCA